CATACAAACGTTTAGGGTTCGGTTGGACGGAAGACCTTGCTGTTCCGCCTGTTTGTCAAGAACGGTTTGTGAGGGGCGGCAACTTTTTCCCCACCACCGAGCAATCCATTCATTTCCCTGACTGCAATATCGGCTGGAACGATGATCATGACCCGCGCGGCTACGCGAAATCTGTAACATCGACAGAGGCGATGATCACGAAATCCGACTCCCGGACTCGCCGCTACGATTTAGCGTCATGCTTTTGGTATCGCCTAAAACCGTAGCGTTGTGCATCTCCCCACTCATCTCTTGTTTTGTAGACCGTAGTTGTGCATCTCGCTACTCTGGCTGATTTACTGAAGTTAGGTACCTGTTGCTATTCATTAAAAACGGAAATATTGGAATCTTAAGAGAAATTCATCGTTCCTTATGCTTGAGTAATTATTATTGATAATTATATTAATTGATAAATAGAAAAATGTTCAATAATCTTCATGCTTTGTTATATAATTAAGGTCGTAAGAGAGATCGTAAATTGTTTGGAGTAAAGAATATATTATGGAGAGACAGAAGCGCAGGAAACATAAGTCAATAATCATCGATATTACGGATTCTGAGGATGATACAGAATCCGTAGTGATTTTGAATGATCCAGATTATGAAATTGATGAAAAACCACGTAGAAAAACTAAAGAGGTAAAACGAAAAATCAAACAACAAGATGTGCCAAGTGACGTAATTTGTGAAGATATGAAAAAGAATACGAAAAACAGAAAGAGAGCAAAGAATGAAACAGACAGTACCAGAGAACGTAAAAAAATAAAGTTAGCTAAAGAATCGATAAAGGAACCCTGTGTGCCTGAAACCATTTTACCAGAGATAAATTTAGAGGATAATTTATTAACTGCAACTAATCAAAGTCATTCCTCTCAATTAAAACAATTCGTTGAATGCAGAGATTGGACAGATGCAGAGTACATAAGTGATACTCATAACATTGACATTCATGTTGCAACATCCTTAGTCAAATTATTCAAAGATGATAATACTATTCCTTTTATTGCAAGATATAGAAAAGAGATGACGCAAGGAATGGAACCAGAAAAGTTAAGAATGATTAAAGACAGTTATGATCGTGCTATTGCAATAAAGAGTCGAGCTACGAAGATTATTAATGCTATTGACAAATTAGGAAAATGGACTCCTGAAATTCATGCAGTTGTTATAGGTGCTAGATCTCTTCATGAATTAGATGATATATATTCTTTATACAAAACTAATTCAAAACGTTCTCTGGCTGAGCGAGCCAGAGATGTAGGACTAGGACCTATTGCTGATTCTGTTTTAAATGGTTTACCAATAGCTCCTTTGTCGTCCATGATTAATTCTGATCAAGAAGGTTTAGACACTGAACAGCATATTAAGAATGGCATTGTACATATAATTGCAGATATAATTAATAAGGATAAAACTACATTTACTAAGATCAGGGATTTACGTAAAACCGTATTTGTCAAGATAGAAACTACTCAAGCAAAGAATGTACAACAGTCAAGTAAATCATTAACTAAAGATAATGTTGATATAAAAAAATATGAATTGTATTTCAACTTCACATCAATGGAAAAGTGTATTAAGCCTCATCAGATTTTAGCTATTAACAGAGGAGAGTCACAAAAGATTTTATCAGTAAAAATGACTATACCTGATTATTTTGAACAGGAGTTAAGGAGACATTGCTTTGCACACTTTAGCACTGCGTTTAACGCATCAGATTTTCATCGTCAACTTCTAGAGGCAAGTTTTAAAGATGCCTACAAGAGATTGATTAAACCTTTAGTCGTACGCAGAGTACGACTCGAAATGAACAAGAGAGCAGAAGAAGCATCTATTGAAGTCTTTGCAAGTAATTTAAAAGATCTTCTACTTATGCCCCCAGTTCGTGGGAAAACTATTCTTAGCATAGATCCAGGCTTTCGTCATGGATGCAAAATTGCTGTAGTATCTGAAAATGGGAAGGTATTGGACACTGCAACCATATTTCCTAACAATCAACCAAGAAATAATAAACAGGAAGCAACGAAAATCCTTGCTAATCTAGTGCTTAAGCATAAAACTACACTTATAGCGTTAGGCAATGCTACAGCCTGTAGAGAGACTGAGATGTTCTTAACTAATTTAATTCAATCTGGAGTTTTTAATCCTGTGGATGTTTCTTATACGATCGTAAATGAAGCTGGTGCTTCTATATACAGTTGTAGTCCAGAGGCCAAATCAGAGTTTCCAGATCTGGACCCAAATTTGATATCCGCAGTTTCTATAGCCAGGAGACTTCAAGATCCTCTGGCTGAATTAATCAAAGTTGATCCAAAACATCTTGGCATTGGAATGTATCAACATGATCTTCCAGAGAAGCAGCTACAACTCACTCTCAATCAAGTTAGTAATTATTTATTAAACGCTATAAAATGTAATCAATTGAAAACAGCTAAATCAACTTTTTCTTACGATAGCTTAGGTGAGAACCCTTTTTCTAAATCTTATGTCCCTACTTTAGGTTATCTCAGAAACTGTGAGTTTCGTTGGAGTTGATATTAATACAGCATCTCGAAGCCTTCTGAAGCGTGTTGCCGGTTTAAACGTGTCCAAAGCTGAAAGTATAATACAACGAAGAAATGAAATTGGTGTATTTAGAAACAGAAAGCAACTTTTGAAAGTAAAAGGTATTAGTCACAAGTCATTTGAACAATGCGCTGGTTTCATAAGGATCATACCAGAGACTGCTAACAGTAAATTAAAGGATGCTAACGATTCTTTAAATTATTTGGATCAAACGTGGATTCATCCGGAATCATACGAATTAACAAATAATATTCTGAAGGACAGTAAGTGCGACATAAAGAATCTGGGTACTCAGAAGTTTATAGATCAAATAAATGTGTATGCAAAACAGGGATATACTATATTAGCAAAGAAATTCCACACAACTGAAGCAACAATAGAAATCATTATCAAGGGTTTAACGATGAAGAAAGGCGAGGATATCAGAATAAAGGGTGAACCACCAGTGTTTAAAAAAAACTTAAGGAGCATCGATGACTTGAGTATTGGTGTTAAGCTAAGTGGTTGTGTACGAAACATAACACACTTTGGTGTCTTTGTAGATATCGGCGTAGAAACTAATGGCCTGATATACGATAAATATCTCAGAAATCAAATTTTGAATTTGGGCCAACGTGTTGACGTTCGAGTGATATCTATTGAAAGAAGTCGTAACAGGATAGGTCTGGAGTTGATGTAAGCTTTCTTGAAATTTCCATTTCACCAATCGATATACTATCAGTCAAACAATTATTTAAATCCTAGAAATCATATTGAAAATAGTTTTTGCGTTTGATCACTTTTGGAATATTCCGAAGGTATACTCCTGTCTTTCTAACTCGAGAGGAAAACGGGATCCCTGGTAAAGAATACTAACACAAAAAGATAATAAACTGAATAAAGTTTCTATGTCTGTCACATTGAACTTGCAAGATCCCAAAATACAAATTAAACAGAATTTTTCATAAATATATCCCAATAGTTATAATTTGAAAAGTAATATAATTAATTCAATGCACTCGCCATTCTATATATATATATATATATATAGAATGGCGAATATATATATATATCTATATTATTAAGCACGTGCTAATACGAAGTACATCCTGTTAGTATCACACACCGTCAACGTCTGTATTACGTGTCTCAAGTGCATCTGCCCATATCACCAAAAATTGATCTTGTGTGAAGAAGAGTCCTTGTGCTCGTTTGTACTCTACGAAGTGCCATCTGTACCGGAAGTGGTTTGCATGCAGCGAATGACCCTCTGCCCCGGAAATGATGTCAGCGGAAGAGCGTCGCTCGATACTTTGAAGAGCGAGTCTATAGGAAATAGCGTGGAAGAAAGGAGAGAGTATAATGTTCATACGAAGGAGTGAAGAGAAATGGAGAGGCCGATGGCCTCAAGATACATTGCCCGACTACGTCGTTCACGAGGCGTGCCATCCTCCGGAGTTTCGATACCAAAAAGATACAAGGCACCCTCTTTAATACCGAGACAAGATACGGGCGAACAAACCACGGCTGACCTTTTCCGATAGCCGATAACGCGGCTATCGGACTCTTTTAATGTGCTACCGACAATAATTAGTACTTAGATAAGAGTGGCTGGCGTAGCGGCACCATTAAATACATTTATAATAGGTGCATGAAAATCTATGATATCTTTATTGACTTTTTTTATAAGTATTTATGTCACATCAGTATTACTAAAATTAGTAGTATCATTAAAATTCGATAAATATTATTTTATGAGTGATCGTTAATGCACTTTAAATACTAGTATATACCATAATAAAGGATTTTATAAAGATTATAATTATGCACTTATGCACCGCACGCAACTGAATGGTCTTATACAATCTCAAGCTGATCGGCTGGAAATTAAGCAGTGGCCGAACGTGTACAGAGCTATTCAAAAATTGTATTCATTTCGGTTAGTACGTAACGTATCCCTGCATTTATTATTTCTCTGTCTGTCATGCGTCCGATTAAAATAGGCTTTCATTTCAATTTCAATGGAATTGTGAGGACCGTTGAAGAGCTCATCAAATTTCAAGTGGACATTGTGCATGTATTTTGACGTTGGTTCTTTAGGGTCACGTGATCCCTTGCATTTCTGTCATTGATACCAATGTCCGTTGGATCTATAGATCATTATCGAACTTTGAATCTATAATTATTCGATCAATTTAAATCATGCAAGAACTCTTTGAATCTATCAAAGCTTCGTTGATCCCCTTCAAGGCTTTTACATATATTTAAATAATGAAAGAAGCAGTATGATGCACTACGAGTCTGCGTTACTCCTGCTGTGTGTTGCTACTCGAATGTCGAGGCAGGGCGTAGAGAAATGAGTCATAACATAACCTAAGAGAGATCGATACGATTCATTCACCCTATGAAATAATTCACGTGCCAGTGGCGCTCACGGTTGCAATTGCAACATCGCCGTACATTTATGTGGCGAACCGCAGCCGATTTGACGCGATCCAATTAACACGAAGAAAAGAAATGTAAGTCGCGGAAAATGACATTCGGTGACTTCGATTTTACAGAGCGAACGAGTTTCCTCAGAGTGATCGATACGAAGGAAAATTGGACGGTGGCGAATCTCATGAAAAATCCTAGATCGCAATTGCCTTGGAGATAAATGTGAATTATCTCGTATGATTCTTTTTGATGGGTTCGGGAGAATCACGAGGACTCGTGGTAATAATGAAATTCCAACGATTGGCGTCGAGACGTCGCGACGCTCCCGTCCGTCTACGTTGTCTCGACGCGACCTTGCGGCTTTAGCGATGCCTTGCAGGATAAATGGAATTTTTTAAAAATAAATTGCACCAAATAAAAATAACGTATTCCAGGTAAAATTGAATTAACGTAAAAGCATGTTAAAACAATTTACAAAACATTTAATAATCGTCAGATATGAAATATTGTATATAGTAAATTTGTGTAAAAAATTTATTTCTAGCTGTAAATTTTTCTCTATTGTACATACACTAAATATACTTAATACGGATATGGTTTTATTTTATCAAAGGTAAAATCTAATGCGAATAGACAGTAGTGCAAGTCCAGCTATCTCCTTGTTAAGATGATTTACGAAAGTCTTATTTGCAATACGAGTGTCGCCGGTCGGGTTTATCGATCGTTCAGCTAGATTTAAGTGCAGCTGCAGTCAGACGGAATAGAGAGGAGCGCAACGCGTTTAAGAGGATTATGGAAACGATCCCACGAGGTCCAAGGGGAATGCCTGTAATGGTCCAATGTACACGCCGCTACAGATATACTTATAATCCACATTTATTTAGCCATTGAGATTCTCGACTATATCGCCAAATCGTTTTCGCAAACATACTAACCTTGCAATTTATGACTATGGAAATCAGCGACAATATGATCAGCATACGTGACTGCATTCACTGTAACCAGATTTCCACATATAATTCTATGGTTAATCGATTTAATTGGCTTCATCGACTGACATCCGAACTCCCGTTAGATTCTGACATTGCACCATTTCGAAATTTCTCCGCATTATGCCATACATACATCTTGATCGTGTCTAACGAGATGTAATAATTTTTCTTATACGTGCTGAGCCAAATCGAGCTTGAAGATATAATATTCAATGGATGGATCAGTGAATGATTTTGTGTCAGAATTGTTTTGTCTGTTACGTAATGGACAATGGGACAATTAAATTTTCGAGGACATTAACCTAACTCCATTAATAAGTGTAGGTACGAGCTTAATGAAGGGGTAATTAAAATAGGTCATAGGTCAGTGCTATAGTAGCATGGTTAACTCACGTTTGAAGTAGCTCAATTGAATGGTGGAATTTTTGTGCTGTTTTATCACGCATTCGATAATGCTCATGTGTGATACGTTGAAAAATAAATGTATAACCGTTGAGATTAATTAGCGTCGTGAAAAATATTGGTAGAAATTAATTTCTGTTATTGGATTGATAAAATTGAATATTAGTTGATTATTAGTTTAAACTGAATAATTCGGTGTTTAATGGTCGTACTTTCCATGGAGGATCGTTTAAACGTTTTATAAACTTGGCCCGTCGTTACGAGGCGGGCGCGACCAATTTTCGAGCGCAATTTAATTCAATTCTAGAGTCGTCATATTAAATTTAAGCCCTCCCTCAAATGCCCGGCTGTTCCGTTCGTGTTTTATTCGATTAGGCCACTGGACGGAGTACGTTAAAACTATGTCGACAATTAATTTATCATGCGGCCGTTAGATGACGCCATCTACGATGAGGACTGTGGGAAATGTTTGGCGCGCTATGTAAATTTTTCTTTACAATAGAATATCTACCATACGTCAGTTTCTAGCGTTCTGTCGATGGACTTGTACAATTTCTCAATCGTTCTTGTACAGGCTAACTCACGGGAATGTCCTTTCTAGATTATTGGATTACTACTTTCATTCTTCCAACCTATTCGACTTTGTTTTCATCCAATATATCTTGTAGCATTTTGGTTTCGTAATGCATCGATCTGCACGAACTATATTCTCTCACTGGTACAGAGCATCAGATGAAATTCGATTTCAATCGGCTCCCACAGAGTGGCAGACCGAATAAAGATGGCAGAGAAGTATCTTTTGATTGGATCATCAAAACGTGCGATCACGATATTGCGAAGCTTTACGGTGCCGCACATACCGGAATTTTTTTCTCTTGTCATCACTCAACCAATCAATCAACTCGTTTAAAAAGATATCACGCTTCTCTTTTGTTTTGTCTACGTTGAGCTTCAAATACTCGTTGTATGCAGTTTAACCTATTTCTCCACGTCACAATCCATGATTATATTGCCAAAATATTGCTTTATTATTTATCATAATATCACAGTACAAATATTATTTAATTTTCCTGAGAATGTCCATAGAAGAAAAAATGACAAACTTCAAGGGTCACGTAACCTAACCTAACACTATCAATAGAACGGTCGTTCATCCAATTCACTCCACCTTCACTGACAAGCTTTTCTTTTGTGAAGGCACCTTCACTAAACTTCTTCATCTACTCGTATTTCTCCCCTTTGTTCTAGAAGCGGCTTTTCAATAACTGTCACTTTTTCATTGCGCCTCGCGTTTCTCGTCGTGTGGAATTCGGTCAGATATTCTTTTCACTCCACCGACCTTCATTCCTCGATACAGCACTAGAAACAAGGGTGATGCAGAAAACGAAATAAAGTAAGTAAAAAATAAAAAGAACAAAGTAACCAACACCTCCCGTTCAGCCCAGCGACTTTTATGGGCGCGAACGTAGCTGCACCCGGCATAAGTATATCCCTATACGAGAGCGCAGAGCTACCAACAACAGAAACGAAAGCGAATTAAACCACATGGCAAGTTTCGTGGTAATAAAAGCCATTCCAGTACGTGCGAACGAACGAGGAAGCAACGATCTTGAACGACGTAATTGAACAAAGTAGGATAAGCGCAGTTCACAAGCAATCAGTAGGTACCTTGACTGAGAAATAAAAAAATATATAAAACTAAAGTAGCACATTTTTTTCTCTACCAAGGAGCAGAGGGGTGGGGGGAGAGAGAGAGAGTCATACAAAAATGTCGATACCAAGGGGAAGTTTGGGCGCGCTTTTTAAAAATAATTTGAATTCCCTCTTCATTTTAACCGATATCCGATGCAATCAGGACTCAGCTGCAGTTCTGTTCTGCATTCCAGCAATTTAGTTGTTGCACATACTATGGGATACCACGAAATCGATATTTACATTTTACTCTAACCTATGTATGTCATCCAAGCAGTACGTACACACATATAGCATAGTCATTTGTTTCCATGTACCATATTAGATATACAGGCCTGACCAATCTCGCTTAAATCTAGGACGTTTCGTGATAGATAATTCGCATTGCTTTTTACGAAATCTATATATATATATAGTTTCCATCGTCAACGTAAACGTCGAGGAGGCCACATTCTGGAGGATATTAATGATAGGCACATAATTACTTAAACGGCAAAAGCTTCCAGAAACAGTCGAGACAATATAAGTTACGCGAACGCGAGAACGTAATTAACGCAGTTAAACGTAATTTATAACGTAACAATATCCCCAGGGAAATTTTCAGTATTGCGTAACAAAAAGTGACGGCAACAGGTTTTCACTTGCCGCAACGTTCATTTTGACAAAGGACGGTGCTCCCCGGGTTTTTGTATCATTACCCCATTTTTTGTTACACTAAGCGCGAGCTTATCAAACGTAAATGTACCGTTGTCGTTATTATTATTACCCTCAACAGATCTCATCTTAGAAAAAGTTTCGAGGTGGAAGCCTTTTCCTGTACACGTTGGAAAGTTCTTTCCAATACCATAAAGGAGCTTTATGGCTATGGGGCCCGTGTAAAAAGGCTTGTAGCTGGATTTCCTCTGGGAAAGTTCGTTCCCTGGGTTTTCGTGAAACTCGAAAAAAAATCCATGCCGCTGATCCTTATTAATGTTGTCGTTCGTGCCTTTCGACGGAAAGAGCCAGGGCCGGGGGGGCGCTGGGGGTTATGTCGTAAGGTCGGGTAATCGTTCGACATATCCACCCCTCTATACCATCTTCGGTTCAGGCTCTGCCTCGCTTTCCCCATAATATAGCCATTTTATAAATATGGCAAAGTTCGTGCACCGCCTACGAAACTTATACCCGAGTCTTTCTGTGTAAATACGTGTAACCTTAGGTATACCTGTATATACATCTATATTTAACCTCGGCAAATTCTACGCTCCTGGGGATTTTTCGGGGGTTGGTATCATTGCGCGTTCTCTCGTTTCTTACATCATTTATTTTCCATTGCAATTTCAAGCATCGTATCTCGCCATTGGTATTAGCTATGTATATACGATAACGTTGCATTCTTTATAACTACGTAAATCCTCGTTGCTATGAATTTTAAGGTTAACGGCTCACGGGATTCTAGATTTACGTACTTTGGTATCTGGCACTGGACACTCCCTTTGGAGGTTAAGTGTCACGCGAGAACTCGCTATCTAATTTGCGAATAATTTTGCAAAGTGATGTCCCGCTACTTTTGTCTTTTTCCTGCAAATTACGATTGAGTGTCCAAGCGGGCTGCGATTTGTTTTGAAATTCTATTAATGCCAGCCGCCATGTATTTTCTCGGCGGAGTCGAATATACTTCGGACGAAAAAGTCAATTTACATTCCAGCGTGAATTTCGACTAGATGCACAGTCGTAAAGATACTTGACCCATTGCACGATAAAAAAAGTATATACATATATGACATAGGAAAAAAATTTTTTTTAACCTCAGTGAATAACGTATTTCGTGACTGGGCAGTAAAAGTAGCTATTTTGACTGAACATATCTGCAGATTTTGGGTTACCGAGAAATACCAGAAACATGAGTTTAAAATGTTTTCCTACGTTTTATCTTGCTCCTGGAATCTCCATGTCTTTTTAAGGCTACTTATTCTGGATAATCCCTGAGTCGGAAGTCGAATGAAGAAATTTTTTTCTACATCGAGTGTACTCAATGGATATTACCTGTTTAACGTTTTTTCTTAGAGGGATTAAAAATACTGTATAGTTATTATATATCGGACTGTGTTAAATTTGCAGATGGTATACTTTAATAATGAAATAAAAAAAAAACCCAATACGAAATATTCCATTTATCGAGGAAACACATATAGCCATACCTAGTGACTCGAATAATATAAATTTTCTCTCCGATTCAATTTCGATCCCCCTTTTAATCAAAGTCAATCGTACGAGTATACTATATAGGGGGTAAGAATGAAGTATCGTGAAATTACGAATAAAAGTGGAATTACACGAGAAATATATCTCAGAGTGGCTACCATTTCTCTTGAATTTCACGAGGCAGGATTTTGTACACACGGTTAAAATCGATATGAGAATTCTTTTTGGCAGAA